GGGGACGACATCCCCACGAAAGAGCAGACAGCAGGCCATATATTTGCCATGACGAGGATCGCACTTCACCATCTGGTTATTTGGCTCAAAGCAGGAATTAGTGATCTCTGCGACGGTCAGCTGCTCATGGTAGGCCTTCTCAGCAGATATGATAGGAGCGTAGGTTACGAGGGGGAAGTGAATACGTGGGTAAGGCACCAGGTTGGTCTGGAACTCTGCCAGGTCGACATTGAGGGAACCATCAAATCTTAGAGATGCTGTTATGGAGGACACAACCTGAGCAATCAGTCGATTAACATTGGTGTATGTCTGCTTATCGATATCCATGTTTCGCAAGCAAATGTCGTAGATGGCCTCGTTGTCGACCATAAAGGCGCAGTCAGTGTGCTCCAGGGTGGTGTGGGTGGTCAGGATGGAGTTGTAGGGCTCCACAACAGCCGAGGAGAGATTTGGAGACGGGTAAATAGCAAATTCCAGTTTGGGTCTTTTGCCATAGTCGACAGAAAGACGCTCCATCAACAGGGATGTGAAGCCAGAGCCGGTTCCTCCACCGAAGCTGTGGAAGATGAGGAAACCCTGGAGACCCGTACACTGATCGGCCTTTGAGCAGTAAGAAAATTAACAAACCAGCTTGTTGGGTCGAATGGCATGTACAGGTAGCAATAAAAAGTGAACCAATGATCCAAAAGATAAAACAGATACATTAGTTTACAAAAAAATTCAAACAGAACAAAATTGTAAGGTCGACATTCAGCTCAAGACAAGGACTCAGACAAGGACAGCGACAAAGTTAGAAACTTCGAGCGATAGGAAAAATTATTCCATCCAAAGATCAATGAAGACTTACTATTTTTCTGATTCTATCCAGAACTTCATCTATTAAATCTTTGCCCACGCTGTAATGACCTCTGGCGTAGTTGTTTGCGGCACCTTCCTTCCCTGAAATCAGCTGATCAGGGTGGAAGAGCTGACGGTAAGTGCCAGTACGGACCTCATCTGTACAGGATAAACATGATTTTAAAGTTAACAGTGTCTTAAGTACAGTTTCACAGTCGGTTTTTTTATTTATGTTTATAAACATAAGTTTCGACATGAATGACTAAGTACATGCACGACAAAACCCTGTAGAACAAGGGGACCTGTCGCTAGTAAGGGCTAAGACACACTTCACACTTCATTGGTCCTTAAAATGTGAACCTGAGAAACTATGATCAACGAGAATCATTTTTTTTCACCTACCTACGACGGTTGGTTCCAAATCCACCATAGTCGCTCTTGGGATATGCTGACCCCCACCAGTCTCACTGAAGAAGGTGTTGAAGGCATCACTGCACTCGTTTACCGTCTTGTCACTAGGCATCTGACCATCAGGTTGGATGCCGTGCTCCAGGCAGTACAGCTCCCAGCAGGCATTGCCCATCTGGACTCCAGCCTGGCCGATGTGGACTGAGATAACTTCCCGCTGCATATTGATTAAGAGAAGACCATTAGTAACTAAATAGAAGAAATCACAGCGATCCGTCAACCATGTACCTTTAAAATGATTTTGATAATCAGCTTTCTTAAGCTGACCGTAAAGGGGTCAAAGGCCACCATCAAGTAGCATTCGGAAAGATTAAATTCATCATTGACTAGTTCCCGATGTAATTGGTTCTTGCACGACTCCACTTGACGCAAGACTCGGCTTTATTTGTCCACATAATCTCACTACATATCACTGTGATATTCTGCAAAGATTCTCACAGAAAACAGAAAAAGGACGATTTTTTCCCGCAATCATTAATAACTTGGGCTCCCCGCTTGTTTTTAAATGACATTTCACGGTCTCACGCTCGACAACACCCCTATCTTATTTCTTGTAATCATTAACTAACGCAGATCATTATTGTAAATCACCCATTGATAAGTAAACGTAAATTTAGCATAGTATGGCTACACCTCAGTCCGTTCCGGTAGACTTTTGTCTTAGGCATTTAAGAGCTGACGTTTATTCTTTTATTACCATTTCTGATCTCTCCTTTATTAATACCATCAATAGAGCCGATGATTCCTGTTCATGTTTTCAAATCAGGTGGGGATTTAATACTTTGGATAAAACTGCATGCTTTTCTGCGCTAGGCAGAAAAGAAGTTACCATGTTATTCAGTTTCCACGACATTCTGAAAAAAATGGCCTGACACTGTAGTAAATGAATCGAGCAGAAGGTTATGCATATCCATGCTCACTTTGGTAGATTTAAGTTGTTTGATTTACTTACCATGTTAATGAGATGAGAAAATGAATCAGCTCAGAAATATTCTTAGAAAACTGAGTTCCCCCTCTGGATAGTCCTGCCTCTCGTTAATAAGGAACGACACAGGTGAATGTTGGAGCCTCAAGCCGGTTGCAACCCTATTTATACCGGCTCACGAGGCTCCGGAGTTGCGCAATATAAGTGGAGTCCAGGCACCTAAACGAATCTATTATCAGTCCCATTCGCGCTATGTAAATCCAACTGAATGACGTGTAATTGTTTTCCGTATTACCGCCCCTTTATGGTAATTAGATCGTTCAAAGGTTGATCGTTGAACGTCCGTGGTCACTGACCATGCGCGAATGGGCTGTTTGAACGTGAGTATAAAAGCACACCACTATAGCATTGAGGACAGTCCGTCATAGTCACAAGCCAAGTGCGGACAATGAGTGCATGACGTCATCCGAGTCATCAACCAGAATTAGCTGTGTGACTCGTCCAGCGTACTTGTTAAGACAACAAACTGAGAGTACACGTGTAATGTAAAACGTGTATTCCAGAACGTGTACAGAAAATATTCACAAACATTTGTAGCCTGGCTGACTAAAGCTATCTCAAAATCTCAGAATGCTGGCTGGTTTTATTGTTTGCCAAAATTGAAAAAAAAAAGTTGGTTGGACATTAAAGGAAAGATACCGTACAAATTTCATATCCCGTATTTGAAAGATAAATAGACCCAGAAAAGAGTAAACAATCAGAATTCTTTTCAATAAAGGTGTTTTTAATGGGGGAGTGGGGAAGTGGGAACTACTCAAAACTACTGGAATTTCCCATTCAGTTTTTGAGTTATGAAAACCCTTGGAACTTTAACCATTTTCTACAGTGTTGGATGATGGGACCTTTGATACTCAATATATATCTTGACTTCCACTCCAAAATCTTGTTCTAGTTTAGAATAAAATGATGAAAGGAGGTGTTCAGGATTATCCTCGAGGGATTGATTTGAATAACAATCACAAAAGACAATCAAACTAAATAAACCTTGATACTGAAAACATTTTTCATGCCAAAACCTGGCAAAATTCAAACGCGTTTATTCATACTACATGTACTAGAAATTAATTTTAATTAACTTTACCATGAACAATTTGTGAAAGGATAACTTCTAAGCTATGGGAATCTTAAACATTGAAAAAAAAAGAATTTTGTGTCTGAATCGAGAGGAAAGCACCACGTCTATTGCAGACAATCTCAACAGTCAATGTTGCATTAACTGGTACTGTTTTATTTAACACTTATTCTAATAACCATCATTCCATCAGAACTAAAGTCTTCAATTCCCTCTTATCTTCCATCTATTCTTGGTCTCCCAAACTAAGTTGTTCTGTTATGATACAATTCTTCAAATTAGTTTTTAATTTTTCTCGTTTTTCCCCTCTTTGGAAGACCATAGGGGTGTGCTTTTCAAAGTTCACCGTTTGTCTTATGAAATGGCATCATTTTAAATTTTAGCCGAGGTACAAAACAGTGAGAGTGGTGGAAACGTTTCAAATGAGGTTTAGTATTCTTCCACTTCTTCCTCCTCATCGTCTACCATTGACTCTGTTCCTACTTCCTCGTAATCCTTCTCCAAGGCAGCCATGTCCTCACGAGCCTCAGAGAACTCACCCTCCTCCATACCCTCTCCCACGTACCAGTGGACGAAGGCACGCTTGGCGTACATCAGATCGAACTTGTGATCCAGACGAGCCCAGGCCTCGGCGATGGCCGTGGTGTTGCTCAGCATGCAGACGGCACGCGACACCTTGGCCAGATCACCGCCAGGCACGACGGTGGGCGGCTGGTAGTTGATGCCCACCTTGAAGCCAGTCGGACACCAGTCGACAAACTGGATGGTGCGCTTGGTCTTGATGGTTGCGATGGCAGCGTTGACATCTTTTGGGACGATATCACCACGGAAGAGCAAACAACAGGCCATGTACTTGCCGTGACGAGGATCGCACTTCACCATCTGGTTGGCTGGCTCGAAACAGGCGTTGGTGATCTCAGCAACGGTCATTTGCTCATGGTAGGCCTTCTCAGCAGAGATGATGGGAGCATAAGTGGCCAAGGGGAAGTGGATACGTGGGTAGGGAACTAAGTTGGTCTGGAATTCGTTTAAATCCACATTCAGTGCGCCATCAAAGCGCAGCGACGCAGTGATGGAGGATACAACCTGAGCAATAATGCGATTTAGGTTGGTGTAGGTTGGACGTTCGACATCAAGATTGCGTCGACAGATGTCATAGATAGCCTCGTTGTCGACCATAAAGGCACAGTCAGAGTGCTCCAGGGTGGTGTGGGTTGTCAGGATGGCGTTGTATGGTTCAACGACCGCGGGAGCTATCTGAGGAGCCGGGTAGATGGCAAACTCCAGCTTGGACTTCTTGCCGTAGTCCACTGAGAGACGCTCCATCAGAAGAGCGGTAAAGCCAGAGCCGGTGCCTCCACCGAAGCTGTGAAACATCAAGAATCCTTGAAGTCCAACGCACTGGTCAGCCTGCAAAGTTGCAAACATAAGGACGATTTTTGTATACAAAAAGAAACATTTTACAGTATCGAAACTGATTATTAATTATCGGAGCAAAGGAAAGACAAAATCTTTGACCTACCAACTTCCGGACCCGATCCAGCACTTGATCGACATGTTCTTTGCCCACAGTGTAATGACCCCGTGCGTAGTTGTTGGCGGCATCTTCCTTGCCTGTGATCAGCTGCTCAGGATGGAAGAGCTGGCGATAGGTGCCGGTACGAACCTCATCTAAACAAAAATGTTTTCAAGACCAATAAGAATCTCTCTGTGAAAACTTCTTTCTTAATTTTTGAGGGATTTTGTTTGGTTCGATTAGTGTATAAATTTCATCCCTCCTACGAGGAATAGGCCGAGAGCAGGGCCGGATCCAGGGGGCGTGGGGCATACGCACCCCCCCTTTTTTGACAAAAAAGTGAATAAAACAGAAGAAAAAGAGGGAGGTAGAAGAAAAAGAGGTGTCATTACATGGAGGGAGAGTGCCTAGAATCCAGAATGGCTCCAGACCAAACGCCCTACGGTCATTTTACCATTACTACTTTAGTTCACGCCCCCCCCCCCTTTGGAAAATCCTAGATCCGTCCCTGGAGAGGGTAGACTACTCACCAACAACAGTAGGTTCCAGATCGACGAAGACACAGCGAGGGACGTGTTTGCCAGCACCGGTCTCGCTGAAGAAGGTATTGAAGGAGTCGTCACCACCTCCGATGGTCTTGTCACTGGGCATCTGACCATCAGGTTGGATACCGTGCTCCAAGCAGTACAGCTCCCAGCAGGCATTGCCCATCTGGACTCCGGCCTGACCGATATGAAGGGAAATGACTTCGCGCTGTGGCAAGAAATTGACATTTAATTGTTGTAAATATGTAATTTAATTTCTCAACATGTTTTACTCATGATACTCCGGTCGTGTATTTTTCAATATTCACTTTTTGACTCTGAACAAATAATTTGCTTCCTTTTCAGTGCCATTTTGTCCTTTAAAAAATCTACGTTTTGGAGCATCCTAGCTCCATATTTATTATAGACTTATCTCAGGACAGCGCATCACTGTGGAGGCATGACATCGCGCTTGCGTTCATTACCTGAGACACGTATGCATTTTGGCAAGTGACAACAAGCCATCAATCTAACAGGCACTCATAAATACCTCAGAGAGTCTCCCTATTCATGAATGTGCAACTTAACCGTATAATACATTTGATAATTCCCCCTGAGAAGTGATAATGCCCTCTGCGTAAAACACGCCCTGGTACCTGGATACGAAACAGTTTACTCATCCCAATAGGTCCTGAGTCTGCGTGCGACGCAACACCCAAAACGCGCCACGCTCGCCAAGTCATATCCGGTTCGTAAGTGACTTGGTCACAAAGGCGGACGCGCAACGATTTGCAGGCTCCCATTGGACGATCGCTGAAGTTGCACGATAACTTCCGGTTCCATGGTTCCATGTAAACAGCGATCAATGCATGTAACTCTATGTGCAGTGCATGTGCAGTGGGAGGGGTTTAAACTGGTGACGTCACACTTACGAACCGTCCGACTACAAGGAGATTCTATTGCAAAACTTTCAAAAGGAATACACAATAAAATGGACAAGGGTGTTTGGGAAAATGAAAGTAAAATTTTAGAACAAAATCGTTGGAAATCTATCATATGTGGACCTCTTTTGACTCGTTGAATAAAAAGGTATTTATAAATGGGAATAAATATGTGGTTGGCCGGTCTTGAACCAACGTTTAAGACCTTGCTCAGGAGAACGAACGCTGGTAATGCATTAGTCGCGTCCACTCTCCTGAGCCGGACTTAAACGCACGTTTAAGACCGGCCACTCACATCGCCTACAATCAGCGTACACCACTCGCGCGCAGGGGCCAGTCCTTTCTAGTACACTCCCCCAAGGCCGCATCAAATATTGTGTCTGGAGCTACGTCTAGGCTGTCGCCAACAGCAAGTGCGTCCAGACATCCTGACAGTAAATGCATAGCCGTGACTCTAGAATACTGTTTTGGACATGGGTTCAAGGAAATCCGTTCAAGGTGAGTGCTTCATGGTTACTCAAAAATTAGGCTTTTAGAAAGTGCAGTTTGTAGCACACACGTCTGTGCCATTCTAAGGACTCGGGTATTGTAATGCTAAGTTACAATGTTACGGTCCAGAGTCAACGAAAGCGGCGTTCCGCTCAACAAATTGGTGGAATTTATTTAAATTGCACCGAAACCACCATTTTGGGTGTGGATTCGCTGAAGCGCAGCATCTGTTAGAACACGACTCAAGTAGGGTCGGAGTCAACATAACCGTGACAGAGACTTCATGCAATGCCCTCGCTTTCTGTCGTTTTAATGGCTACCACTCGCGATTTCTCATTTGTGAATAATGTTCACAGAAATCTTGACAATCAAGAAACATATCTAATATTGATGTTTCAGAAAGGAAATACTAAGATAAGAAAAGAAGACGTTTTTAAATTATAAATACATGTTGTGTCGAGTGAATGATTAGAACCCCAAATCTCCACGGTATTTCTGAAAGCCGAAAGTTAAAATCTGTCACAAAACAAAAATCAGTCTTAATTTACAAATTTAATAAAATATCATTACAAATATCCTGATGCAATAGAAGATAGGACTTCCATGAATTTTATATGAGTCCACTATGCATCACTGCAATCGCAGTGGCAAACTGACTACAGAAAGAAGCATCGGGACAGTTTTGGGAGACATAAAGTCTAGATCTACTTCAGCACTAGCAGCTCTTACAATAAAAGCAAGGCCTTTTCAAGTCTACAGTGTCTGCCTGCTTTAATGTACAAACCTGGCACTTGCCGAGAGTAACCAATATTGTTTACGACTTTAGTTCCGTACAACGCGATTTCGATATTTAACATACAGATATCTATGAGTCGACTGTAAATCCAATTTCGCTGTGTGGGAATTGCAACAGGTGGTTTATTATGCTGGGCCTTTTTATAATGACATGACCATATGCTGATTAAATTTGGTTCGGTTAAAATAACAGACTTAAATTCGTAGTGGACAGAAAGTTAGGTTTATCCGTAATAGTAGATATGTGTATAAAGGAAAACACAACGAAGAAACTTACCATGTTTTTTGTCTTTGTCGCTGGACACAGGAAACAGGATAAAATTGAAATTTCAAAGGATTCGGCGTCCTCGTAGTAGCTCAGTAATGAATTGCCTTGCCAGCGGTTATAAGGTACGTAGCAGGAACTAAGCACAGATGGCTGTGCACGGAACTATTAAAATGCATCAGGAATAGACTTGCCAAAAGTCGATTGAGCATTGTGTTAGGAGTTGAAAGTAAATCGCATCATGTGACTACCACACAATAGTCTGAGTATCCAAAATGTGGTGTTAAATCTGGCTAGAAATGTTGCCAATATATACCCACAGTTTAAAGATCCCCTCATTACTGAATTGTTACCTATTTTAACCAATCCGTACCCGACCCCAACCCAATCACCAAGCCAATTATCCAACCCCGTCCACTTAACCAGGCCCGGCCAGACCAAGCCGACTGAACAAACCCAATCCAACCACATTTCAGGCTCCTTAACCCACGATACACCCAGCCCACCGCAACCAAACCCAATCTTGAAAAGCCCAATCCAACCCAATTCACCACCTAACCCAACCAGACACCTAACCCAACCCAATTCAACCGAAGCCTATCTAACCCAACCCTATCCCATCCCACCCCGCCCAGCCAAGTTCAGCCAAGCCAAGCCATGTCCAGCCCAGTCCAGCCTAGCCCAGCCAGACCCTGGCCAGCCAAGTCCAACCAAACTAACAAAAATTATTTTCAAAAATCATAATCCCACCCGAATTGGCCAAACTTTGGGAAGGTCATGATGGCAAATAATTAATCGGGAAAATTGATTGCATTTTCACAATTTTTATTCACTTCGTTTGCTGAAGTCAAATAAAAGTCCTATAAAACGAAATCTAGTTGAGAACATTTCTAAAAGAAACTGAAACTGTGGTTTTTGTGAGCTTAAACTATTACACTACTGAGTAGTGACTATTCTAATATTCAGCCTTCTTAAATATTAATTTAGTCTTCTATGTATTTCGGTCGAGAAGACTGATGTTCATTACTTGAGATCGTATAGGTAAGAGGTGGTATCAAGCTCCTGGGACGATCCCAATTGCCAGCACAGACCACAAACACGATGAAAGTTTGATAGTTACAGCATTTCGATTCGATCAACGTTGCTGTTGTTTTTATTTAGTATTCCCCCTCCTCTTCCTCGCCTTCTGCAGAATCTACTCCGACTTCCTCGTAATCTTTCTCCAAGGCTGCCAGATCTTCACGAGCCTCAGAGAACTCGCCCTCCTCCATACCCTCTCCCACGTACCAGTGGACGAAGGCACGCTTGGCGTACATCAGATCGAACTTGTGATCCAGACGAGCCCAGGCCTCGGCGATGGCCGTGGTGTTGCTCAACATGCAGACGGCACGCTGCACCTTGGCCAGATCACCGCCAGGCACGACGGTGGGTGGCTGGTAGTTGATGCCCACCTTGAAGCCAGTCGGACACCAGTCAACGAACTGAATGGTGCGCTTGGTCTTGATGGTTGCTATGGCAGCGTTGACATCCTTGGGGACAACATCACCTCGAAAGAGCAGACAACAGGCCATGTACTTGCCGTGGCGAGGGTCGCACTTAACCATCTGGTTGGCCGGCTCAAAGCAGGCATTGGTAACCTCACCAACGGTCATTTGCTCATGGTAGGCCTTCTCGGCAGAGATGACAGGTGCATAGGTGGCCAAGGGGAAGTGGATACGTGGGTAGGGAACCAAGTTGGTCTGGAACTCGGTCAGGTCGACATTCAGGGCCCCATCAAAGCGCAGCGAGGCAGTGATGGAGGACACAATCTGACCAATCAGACGGTTAAGGTTGGTATAAGTCGGACGTTCAATATCAAGGTTACGACGACAGATGTCATAGATTGCCTCGTTGTCTACCATGAAGGCGCAGTCGGTGTGCTCCAGGGTTGTATGGGTAGTTAAGACTGAGTTGTAGGGCTCAACAACAGCAGTGGAGATCTGTGGAGCAGGGTAGATGGCAAACTGAAGCTTGGACTTCTTGCCGTAGTCGACGGAGAGACGTTCCATCAATAGGGATGTAAAGCCAGAGCCGGTGCCTCCACCAAAGCTGTGAAAGACAAGAAAACCCTGTAGACCCGTGCACTGCTCCACTAATTTTCGAATTCTGTCAAGGGCTCGATCGATGTGCTCTTTGCCTACGGTGTAGTGACCCCTGGCATAGTTGTTGGCGGCATCTTCCTTGCCGGTGATCAGCTGCTCAGGGTGAAAAAGCTGGCGGTAGGTGCCGGTGCGAATCTCATCTGTTCAAACAAAGATAATCTTTTTTTGATGACTTTAAAGTAGATGGATGGAAATATCCAATTTTGATGACTTTAAAGTAGATGGATGGAAATATCAAAACTACAATGATCAGAACAACAAACAACTGCCTGAGTGATATCCTTAATACGAAAAATAAAACGAACTAGAACGTGCCGTTTGTAAGAGATGAAACCACTGTGTTTAGTAGAATAAATAAAACATATTAGAACCGGACCTTAAATTAGTTATTTAAATGGAATTGAAAAACCACCTGTAAAGGGTTGCCTTTCCTACTGCTTTCCAGCCCACCCCAATTAATAACCGATTTCGTGAGCTAAGGAAAAGGTAACTAACCGACGACACTGGGCTCAAGATCAACAAAGACGACTCGAGGGACGTGCTTGCCAGCACCAGTCTCGCTGAAGAAGGTGTTGAAGGAGTCGTCACCACCTCCGATGGTCTTGTCACTGGGCATCTGACCATCAGGTTGGATGCCATGCTCCAGGCAGTACAGCTCCCAGCAGGCATTGCCCATCTGGACTCCGGCTTGGCCGACATGGACTGAGATGCACTCACGCTACCACAAAATTTAAAAAAAATATATATATATATAATACTTTATACCCTTCGCTGGTTTTGAAAAGTGAAATTTATCCCCTACATTTTGAAAGTAAAATTTTCATTCAGTCCATTTATAAAGTCTGATGAGGTTTGTATTATACACCGCTACTTTTCCTTATTAGCCAATATCAATGGAGTTGAACATGCAGATACCCACGTTTCCACGAATAATATTATGCACGTTTCTATGGCGTTCAAGGTTAAACTCTACGCGTCTTGCCTCTCCATTGTTCATTGCAAGTTTCCCAGACGAGGTTCAATTCTAATAAATTACATTAATGAATAATTGCTTTGTTCGCCATGCTAATGGAACCACCAGAGTTATTGTACTACAGGTACATGTACTGACGACATATATAAATTTTCTGTCATGCGCTTTATTTTATGTTATCGAGTTATGCAATTTGACTCTTATTTTGTGGAGCTCAGTGTTGGGCATACTGGCACTTCACCAATTATTGTCAAAGCTTCCTGTAGAAAGTAATGGTGGAAATAAAGCGACAGGTGCCTATATGGCAAGGGGACAAAAGTCTCCCAACCTCTGTAAATAGTAAACAGCTTCCAAGGAAATGTAGCATTTGGATCTGAAATATTGTTTTCCTCCGGATTTCAACTACCGACACTCTTATTTTGGAATGCTTCGAAACCTGGAACACGTAGCCACACGACACTAATGACACCATTTTGGCAAAACTATAAATACATAGAAGTTAGCTATTAACAGTCAGCGCCTCCCTTTTGAGCCCAAGTAGGTAATCGTATCCGACAGACACATCCCAGCTGAAACGATGCAAGTGCATTTTCCTCCAAACAGTCGGGCACTAACACTGCTCAAAAAAGATGCAAGAAACACGAATAATTTTGGTACTTACCATTTTGATTGCTTTCTCGAAGTTTTTAAAAATTAGAAGAAGATAAAATACGAAGAGTTTCTTAAATCTCCTTGGCGTTTATACCGGTTGATGACGGGAGTTGGCATCGAATGGTGGTGTGGTAATCGCCCAGCGGCCTGGCTACAACCTGTTTACTTGCTGCTCCGTGCCTTGCGTTGATTGGCTGTCACGGTCGTTAGGCGCCAGCTTATAAATATCGGGAAAATTGGTCTCTTTGTTGTCATGGTTCCAACAACGCTAATTGTCATCTCGAAACGACGCCCATAATTTTTTTAGAGCGGTGTTGGCTGGAATTGCTGTCACGCTTTGTTGGTTGGAGGACTAAACAAGTTCATAAAACAGAACCTCAAAATTCATGGAAGGAAAGCAGCGCATATAATGAAATTACCACTTTCCCCCAGCATCATGTTGTTCTACTTGAGCGTAAATGCCAAATGTTCAAAATGAAAACAAAAGAGATCCTCACTCGAAGAAAAACTAAATTGGTTGCATAAAGCGAGCTAGTTGCTGCGTGGGTGCATGTATATAACTACGATGTGGCATGATATGAAATATCTTTACGCCAAACTTGTTGTAGCGTAATATGGTCGTGGTATAAACTTCACTTTAATAAACAACAGAAACCAAACCATAGACAAAAGAAAACAAAAACAAGATGGAACAAAGGGGAAAAACAACTGAAAACAAGGAAGATCAAGCAGGACAGGCCCAAAGCAGACACCCTCCCCATCATGCAATATCCATGTATATCTGGCATGCAAAGATACATATCGAATGAGTAAAATTAATTCAATTTTTATGAAAATATTTTGAGACTGACAAACATGGATACAAATTGTTCTGTTAGGGCCACGAAATTATAATGGCTGACTATTGTTCACATACAAATGAGTAGAACTGAACCTAAACCCTACACCAATATCACGCAGCCTGCTGTCTTTATGATATTTACATATCATATTTTATTAAGGGCAGGAACAATGCCTTGTTCAAGCCGAAATGATCTTATGGTTGAATGATTTCACTAAAATAGACCATTATCAGCTGCAGGCTGGTTGGCATGGTGACGGCTATTCTTCAGGCTCGACGCCTCTCGAATTTGCCATCTATGATAAAATCATCAGTAAAAAAATGCAATCAATAAATGATGATCGTGGCGTGTAATTTCACTGAGTACCATTGCCGCAGACTGTTGCATCGATTCACGGTGTTATTCACCCGGATCGACACGTCTGTACGAGACAATAGAAGCCAAGGTAACAGAAAAAGAGGGGAAACGGAAAGATACGTCTTGCCTTTAAGCCAAGAACCCTTCATTTGATAAGTTTTGGGGATGTATTTAAAACCTATCGGTTAGAGCGCCTCTTGATTGTAATTGGAGATGCCTCGGAAAATCTAGCTCGCAGTGAACGAATAGGTTAAATGAGATGGCATCTAAATTCAAAGATGGTGAAGTGTTACGCAGTGCTCACCACATGCTAATGCATTCTGGCAATCAGGTGCCATGGCTGAAGTGTTATTACGCTGGCAAACAAGTGTTAAGCGCGCGTTTCATTCCTCGCAGACCACTGATCTCCATTTGGAGACTAGGTCTTCGACCAATAGAGTGTCGTGCTTTTGTTAAGTGCACGTATAGGGTTTAAAAACGCACGCGTGTGGGTATGGTTCCACTTTGGTTCCACCGCAAATTAGTCTCAAGTTCCCATGAACAAAGTCACACGTACAGATCGGTCTTAGCAATGGAAAGTTGGAAACTAACATTGAAGTAATTATACTAAATATCGCAGACATATTGTCAATACCAGTGACACATTCTGTTCTATTGTAACGCTTACACACAGAAAGGCAAAATGTTAGCTATTTATTTTTCACGGCACAAATTTTATTGAAGGCTCACGTTCAATTTAAAATCGTGACGTTTTGGATGGGGACAAACTGAAAAACTGACCTAGGCTTATTTCTTTAAGGTCTTATAATAATTTCCACTTATCTAAAACAACATTTTTAAGCACTTTTCATCCTCATTTTCAGACTTTTTCCGTAAAAATTATGATTTTTCATCAACCATTTGAAGTTTATACAGACTGATTCAGCGAAAGTGTCAGTCTAGGGCCTAATCGTTATTCCGTCATAGTTTTGTGAAAATGGAGTATAAGTCCAGGTCAGAGCTGATAAGTCCATTGAAGTTGAATCTTATTGGGTGACATTAAACTACTCCATAATTTGTGTTAAATGCGACGAGTTTGCTTAAGTATGAACTACAAATAGGCTTGAAGCTCGATGCTTTAGATCAGCTTTAAAATATCTCAAGAAACTTGGGCTGCCTGTCCCAAAGTAGGTAAGTTTCATTGATTTTAAATTCACCAATAGAACGCAGATACCTTAAGAAAATTCAAGCGCACTAAAATCAGCCAAACAACGAGAAGAGCTGCTTCAGTCCAAGTCATACTAATATTGTATCAAAGAACTCTGAGTTTAGAACATTGTGATTCTTTGTTCTTCATATTCGCCATCTCCTTGCTCTCCGTCACCAGATTCAGAATCTATCCCGACCTCCTTGTAATCCATGGAGTACCAGATCCTCACGAGCCTCAGAGAACTCAACCTCCTCCATACCGGCTTGATTGATTGATCGATTTCAGTCTCACACCTTTATGCATTTCATTCGCTGAAGGCGAATGAAAGTCCTAAATCTAGCTGAGAATGCTAGTAAAAGAAACTGACACTTTGGTTTTTGTGAGCTTTAGTGAAAGAAAAGTATCACATTACTGAATAGTGACTACTCTATACAAATTTTCAGACTTCTTGAATAGCAATTTAGTCTTCTATATTTCGGTTGAAAAGATCGATGCTGATTAATTGAGATCATAGCCTTGTAGAGGTAAGAGGTGGCATCAATTTCCTGGGACGATCCAAACTGCCATGGTAGAATAGATAGTCTAAAGTAGATTTTTTTGGAAACGCAAGAGCACATACACAATGACTTTTTGGTAGTTACAGCATTTCGATTCGATCAACGTTGCTGTTGTTTTTAGTTTAGTATTCCCCCTCCTCTTCCTCGCCTTCTGCAGAATCTACTCCGACCTCCTCGTAATCTTTCTCCAAGGCTGCCAGATCTTCACGAGCCTCAGAGAACTCGCCCTCCTCCATACCCTCTCCCACGTACCAGTGGACGAAGGCACGCTTGGCGTACATCAGGTCAAACTTGTGATCCAGACGAGCCCAGGCCTCTGCGATGGCTGTGGTGTTGCTCAGCATGCAAACAGCACGCTGCACCTTGGCCAGATCACCGCCAGGTACGACGGTGGGCGGCTGGTAGTTGATGCCCACCTTGAAGCCAGTTGGACACCAGTCAACGAACTGAATGGTGCGCTTGGTCTTGATGGTTGCTATGGCAACGTTGACATCCTTAGGGACAACATCACCTCGAAAGAGTAGACAGCAGGCCATGTACTTGCCGTGACGAGGATCGCACTTCACCATCTGGTTGGCCGGCTCGAAACAGGCGTTGGTGATCTCTGCAACGGTCATTTGCTCATGGTAGGCCTTCTCAGCAGAGATGACAGGTGCATAGGTAACAAGCGGAAAGTGAATGCGTGGGTAGGGCACCAAGTTGGTCTGGAACTCGGTTAGGTCGACGTTCAGGGCACCATCGAAGCGCAGCGATGCAGTGATGGAGGACACAATCTGACCGATTAGACGGTTGAGGTTGGTGTAAGTCGGTCGTCCGATGTCGAGGTTGCGACGACAGATGTCATAGATTGCCTCGTTGTCGACCATAAAGGCGCAGTCAGTGTGCTCCAGGGTGGTGTGGGTGGTCAGGACTGAATTGTAAGGCTCCACAACAGCTGTAGAGACTTGAGGAGCCGGGTAGATGGCAAACTCCAGCTTGGACTTCTTGCCATAATCAACGGAGAGACGCTCCATCAATAGGGATGTGAAGCCAGAGCCAGTGCCTCCACCGAAACTGTGAAAGATAAGGAAACCTTGGAGACCCGTGCACTGATCAGCCAACTTTCGTACTCGATCCATGACAAGGTCAATACGCTCCTTGCCCACAGTGTAGTGACCCCTGGCATAGTTGTTGGCGGCATCTTCCTTGCCTGTGATCAGCTGCTCAGGGTGGAAGAGCTGGCGATAGGTGCCGGTGCGAACCTCATCTGTTTAACAGTAAAATATTGTTATTCTTTTATTTGAATCCAAAATTTAATGAGACTGCGTTTATGAAACCAGCTTACTGAACTGCAGCAGTGAAATTAAATATTAAAATATTCTGTGACTGCGTGCATTTGGAACCTTTTTTTTTGTAAAAATTCAAGTCCCTCTAAAACTTGATTTCGTAGGAACAGAGAAAACACAAGTAACTTACCCACAACTGTGGGCTCAAGATCGATGAAAACGGCTCTAGGGACGTGCTTGCCAGCGCCAGTCTCGCTGAAAAAGGCGTTGAATGAGTCGTCACCACCTCCGAGGGACTTGTCACTGGGCATCTGACCATCAGGTTGGATGCCGTGTTCCAGGCAGTAAAGCTCCCAGCATGCATTGCCCATCTGGACTCCGGCCTGGCCGACATGGACTGAGATACATTCACGCTAATAATTGAAATATAAAAAGTCATTTTCTTATAGACTTTTTTAGCAAATAAAATCTTATTAGTCTGTACAGCACATCACACGTTGTCTGGCGCGTTTCATTTACAGTTTAACTTAGATACACGCTACGCAGTTCAAAACACACCTTCATTGTATCATCGCTTATTATGTACGTTCCATTGGCAATCAAGGTTAAATTCTATTGGATTTTATTTCATTTTAATTCATTACAAGCAGGTAAAACAAAAAATACCATGCCAGCTGAGTTGAAATGTTCATGAACTGCATTACGAATACGGAACCAGGGTCTTGTTTGTGTACTTTTGGTATGGAACGAGTGCATCATATCAATCATCGCTAATTAATGTCTTCTGAACGATGCCCGACTTACTATGTCTGCTTTGGAAACCTCTTCGAAAATTGAATTTATTGAAGGGAATACACTGCAAGACTCTCTCTCTTCTTCAAATCATAGAATAAAAATCACCAACATGAAAAAATAAATGAAATAACCTTGTTTCAGTGTTCTCTAACCAATTTTGAAAACTTAATTCATACAGCGCCACAATGATACTGAATTACATTTGATCATGCTAATTGACAGTTAAATATTGTTGTACATTATGTTTTTGATAAACGAAAGGAAGAAAGCGCAAAGTGCAGAATCTCATTTGAACTTACCATTTTGAGTGCTTTATTTAAAATTGTTGAGAGTTAAAGAAGATATAGGGAGATTCCTGGCGTCTCTTTGCGTTTATACCGATTGATGGCGGGTGTTGACAGCGAGTGGCGGTGTGGTTATCGCTCGCTGCCCTATAACCCGTTCACTTGCTTTGCCGTGCCGTACGGAGATTGGCTCAAATGGTTGTCACGCGCCAGCTCATAAATATCGCGTCGGAAACGGCATAAGGTTGCCATGGTTTTGTCAGTGTTCATTATGAGCTCAAAACAAGGTTAACAAAAATAATTTCTGGTGGAGGGTTGCCATCTTTTTAATAAAAATTGATAACATAAAACTGTCTCTTTATTGCCTCAATTTTATTTCATTTCATTCTACCGTATTGGCAAATGAATTCAAGTTCACAAAAAGGGTGGAATTTGAGAAGTTAAAAAAAATACAAAAACTACCCTTTTCCAGACACAAATTCAAAGTTTTGTGGTAGTGAGAACTCAGATATTCCTCTAGCGCCTTTTTGCAGTGTAATGACGGACCCAAACAGAGGACAACATCCCACAACCTGCTTTGTTCCTGTTATTTACCTGCCATTTTTAAAATTCACAGAGGCATAATACCACTGTCTGTTCTAGCATATCTCATAGCTCAACGATTCGACTAAAATGGCTGTTTTAGGTACAGCATGGTAGCCATGGTGACACCAACAATCCCCCCTCCGTCGTCATTGATTCACCCATGGTAAATTTATCAGTAACAAAATGGTCCTCTGAGAATTATCACGACACTGTGGCGCGATGCATTCTGTGCCCTTGCTGCACAGACTGTTGAGTCAAGGCATGGAGTTGCTCTCTAAGACGACCACAACAGGGAGAGACATGTCGGCTTAAAGTCAAGGTCAAAGATATAATGAACAATCCTTCATTTAATAAGTTTTTATGATGTCGGGGTATGCATAAAAACAAGGAAAATCTGCAGACCAATCAAAGGTATGTTCTTAGAGACGTCACTAAGAATTGACCAATGAGGAAATGCGTGTTGACATTGAACTGACATTTCAAAATGTACGACTCGCGTCGTTTGCAACCAATGCACTGTTCGTTCTTTCGGGATAAGCAAGGTGAATCATTATGTTAGAGTCACATCAATAGCTCAACTACATCAGCACACGAAGGGTTTTCTTACTTATAGCTCAATACTACCCTGTCTATATTGCTCTGTAATGGTCGCATTTGATTTCCTAATTTTTATAAGGGTAATTCCAGAAATTAGGGGTCCAAAAGTGTGACATTTTCGTGTCCCTCTTACATCTGACCTTTGTTATTTGACATAGAAATATCACCGGAATTAATTTCGAAATATTGCTATTTGTTTTGCAGGTAATTTGTATTAATTCATCACTTTTGGAAATTAGAAAGTATGTTCTGAACTTACAAAATTATATGTCAGATGTGACAGGGACACGAAAAAAGGACCTTAATTTCTGGAATTAGGCCTACCCATTAACGGAAGTGACGCTAAAACCATATCCATGGCATTGGGAAACAATCAAACATCAAATATGCTGGAGCCAGCCTCATTAGACATTATACTTTGTGTTTATGGCGTAGGTAGTCCAACGAAACCTGGCCACAGGTTATCTTCTAGAACTGTTATCTCATCGTTTGAATCAGTCAAAGGAGAAAAATATGAACTACGAAGAATCACACAGTTGACAGTAATGCAAAAACGCTATTAAAGATATTTCTCTGAAACCGCAGACTAAATCAATAAATTAATGTCTGTCTCCCCTGCTGTTTGTTAGCCTATTACTTCTACTGATAAATAGCTGGATACATCGTTTAAACTGTTTCCATAGAAACAGAAAACTGCTTCAGGGTACCAGCTTTTTATGTAAAAATGCAAAATCCTCGTTGTGCGATTGTGCTAAACATTATTTTAATGTATTTAAATTTGTGTATCATGTGCGCCGACATTTATTTCTTAACTTTTAATCTTGTACGCCTTTGATGAAAGAAAAATACGAAAACTAAATTGTTAGTTTCCTTTTTTCATCACTAATAGTTTGAATCTGGGGTCAAGGCTGAGTAATACCATAAACAAATTTGAATTTCACGTTCATGCGTTCTTGCTGTCAAGGATCTCTGCAAAGCTCGTGACCTTTACACTAGAAATTTCTATTTGCTCCTTACTGGTTTGCTTCATGACTTCCATTTTCGCTGACTTCCAATTTCGCTGACTTCCATTTTTGCTCAGGCCTATATTAACTTGACCGATCAATTTGTTTTAATTCTATTAAAATACTTTGAAATTAAACGAATTGCCAGGCTAAGTTAAAAACAACAACAGAATTTCACTTTAAAAGAAGCAAAAACACTGACATCCCGTAAAAATGAAAGACCTATTTGCAGAATAAGATTTCAAATTATTTCAGACTTGGGAAAAAAGAAAACAAAATCTGTGCTATGGAAAGAATTTTTTGCTGATGAGCTGCTTGTCAGCCAAGCAGTTTGTAATTTTTGAATTAATATTCTCCGCCGTCTGCGTCTTCCTCTTCATCCTCAGCAGAATCGGTACCGACTTCCTCGTAATCCTTCTCCAAGGCTGCCAGATCCTCACGAGCCTCAGAGAACTCACCCTCCTCCATACCCTCTCCCACGTACCAGTGGACGAAGGCACGCTTGGCGTACATCAGATCAAACTTGTGATCCAGACGAGCCCAGGCCTCAGCGATGGCCGTGGTGTTGCTCAGCATGCAAACGGCACGCTGCACCTTGGCCAGATCACCACCAGGCACGACGGTGGGCGGCTGGTTGTTGATCCCGACCTTGAAGCCAGTTGGACACCAGTCGACGAACTGGATGGTGCGCTTGGTCTTGATGTTGGCGATAGCGGCATTGACATCCTTAGGGACGACATCGCCACGGTAGAGCAGACAGCAGGCCATGTACTTGCCATGACGAGGATCGCACTTAACCATCTGGTTTTCTGGCTCATAGCAGGCACCAGTGAGGTCTGCGATGCTGAACTGCTCATGGTAGGCCTTCTCAGCAGAGATAACAGGAGCGTAAGTCACAAGAGGGAAATGGATTCGTGGATAGGGAACCAAGTTGGTTTGGAACTCGTTTAGATCGACGTTAAGGGACCCTTCGAAGCGCAGAGATGATGTTATTGAGGACACGACCTGGGCAATCAGACGGTTGAGATTGGCATAAGATGGCCGCTCGATGTCAAGTTTACGACGGCAGATGTCGTAGATGGCCTCGTTGTCGACGACAAAGGCGCAGTCGGTATGCTCCAGGGTAGTGTGGGTAGCTAAGACAGAGTTGTATGGCTCTACCACTGAGGAAGACATCTGAGGGGCAGGGTAAACCGCGACCTCAAGCTTGGACTTCTTGCCAAAGTCCACGGCTAGCTTCTCCATGAGTAATGCGCTGAAGCCAGAGCCAGTGCCTCCACCGAAACTGTGGAAGATGAGGAAACCCTGGAGGCCAGTGCACTTGTCGGCCTGCAAAAGGAGCATTCAATGCAATTTTAGGCAGGTGCACTATCTTTCAAAAGCGACGAGTTGCAGTTGAAGAGCGTTGTGAATTGATTTCCTTTATAAGTTAGAAAGAAGAGTTTTAAGAAGAAGACATACCATCTTGCGGATTTTATCAATGACCTCATCCACTTTTTCTCTTCCGACGGAAAAGTGGCCCCTGGCGTAGTTGTTGGCGGCATCCTCCTTGCCTGTGATCAGCTGCTCAGGGTGAAAAAGCTGGCGGTAGGTGCCGGTGCGGACCTCGTCTAGAAAGAGAAAACAAGTGAAAGTATTACTTCAATTCTCGTTTTTGGTTGAACTTTAATTCTCTCAAGTTAATCTGCACATTTATCTTACATGCATTTAATACCTCCTACTAAAAGGCACTGTTAATGACGCTCACCGACTACCGTAGGCTCCAAATCAACGAAAATGGCGCGTGGGACGTGCTTGCCGGAACTGGTCTCACTGAAGAAGGTGTTGAAGGAGTCCTCACAACTTCCGATGGATGTGTCACTGGGCATCTGACCATCAGGTTGGATGCCGTGTTCCAGGCAGTACAGCTCCCAGCAGGCATTGCCCATCTGGACTCCGGCCTGGCCGACATGGACTGAGATAACTTCGCGCTATAATAAATGATCAAATAAAATAAAATAAAATATGCCAATGTCAGATGCGAAAAGTAAGCCTCACTGAGCTTCGTGCTTAAGGACGCCCCCAATATGGTAACAAGCACACAGGCTTGACCGAAGCTTGAACACCATTGCTGTTGCGTGTTGGACACTCGCGCGAAACCTAAAGGGTGCAGTCCACTAATTCAAGCGAGAATTTCTGGCCAGCTCATTAGCATTAAAAGTGCCCCCACAGTATCTTTTGAAAAATGAGATTGTATGGCCCCAAAATGGTGAGATTGTGTAAATCCTTGCCAGGATCAACTCCCTGGGTCTTTGGGCTTTCATCTGAGAGCAGAATGGCTGAAAAATACTGTTGAAAAATGGTCCTAAGTGCCCGAGAAAGTTGAGGGTTGCCACTGATTGAGGCTGCAATCAGACTTTGGAAATATCACTTTTTGGGGGGTAATTTTGTTTTGAGGGAATAACTCAAAATGTAATCGGTTAACCCACAGAAAATTGAAAAGAAAATAAAAGATTACGGACCATACAATGATTTAACGCGTTTCAGATGCCTCACGGATGTTGGTACGCATATTATTAGGCCTCGAACAATGCTGATTTGACACTGTTTTCAATGGGGCATGAATTAGTGGACTACACCCTGAACGGAGATTGGTAAATGTCAAACACATACTGCTAACGCGCACACGCCTCCAGGCCGAGTCACATGCCTAAGAACTACTGCGCACGCGTTGAGTCTCACTTTTACCGAGTCTGTGCTGTCCGCGCTGGACTTTCCGTCCCGGGAAAAGTGACCTGGGCATTTTTCCTGGGCTTTTGATAAATAAAAACAATGCAGAGCTCCTTTGACCTCATGCTGGATGAAAAACATAAAGGTACATGCATAATTACCCATTATCACAGCCGCTACGGCGCTCACACAATACAATGATCGATTTTTCGAAACATACTGCGTATTTTACTGTCATGATTTTTCATATGTTATTACATTCTATACCTGCAGAAAAAAAATCTTGTTTCGAATGTCCAAGTTATTGTTTTGATTTTCCGGAATAGTCTCTGAATTGTTTTTAAAATGCATAAAATTATGAGTGTCCTCAAATAATTTCCCATTTAAACAACATTTAATAAGTCTAAAACAAAAACCACAAACAATTCCTATAACAATCGGCTCATGAGTTGTGACAAATGTATTCACATATAAAGTAACGAGTTACATATCTCTGAAATGAAGCGAAAAAGGACTCATCATAAAAAAAATGCTTATTCAAATTGCACACATGTCACACAGAATAGAACATGTATTGTTCAGGGTGAGGTTAGTCTCGCTTAGTGATGAACCGGAACGCTAATTTATTACTAACCTTGTATTTTAGGAATATAATTATAGAGTTTTTGCTTTGATCACTGATGCATGGCAAGGAGCTGCATATGCCAGCGGTTTTCTACATTGGAGGCTTTATTTAGCAGTCGGGCACTGTACTTTTGCATGCAGAGCCTGAAGCCTGCACTTGACTGTTGCATGACGGGACTATCAGTCACTGGGTGTGGTTGTTTATCTCAGACTTATTAATTTTTTTCTGTTTGTTTAGCCCACGCCTATTAGGACTGTTTACCATAAACAGAAGAGACGTAAGACCATTGGTAACCTCTGTCTTTTAGGGATAATGAGTTTATATCCGATATTTCACGTGTTACTTATGACAAGCGCTTCACCTCCTTGTGGGTCGAGCTGTAAATTTTTGCCCCGTGATCTCGGTGCCCAATGTATTAAAAAATAAATAATAACAATCAAAGATCAATTAAAGTTTTAGTCGAGTCGGTCAGCCCCTACCTCTTGTACTCTCTTTTAAATAATTACACTCCAGGATTCGAGCCTACACTTGAGCAGTTTTTGTTAATTTCAGCAGGTTGAGCATGGTCAGTGGTTAGTGTCCCCGCCTTACGCTCAAAGTTTGAAATGAATCAACAACCAGGTCCAATTTTCGTGAATTTGGCGTGCTGGTATCGGAGAAAATAACAGAATGATTCCTCCCCCAAATGTTTAGATTTTAAAGAAAGTCTATTAATTTTTATAATTGTCTGTTTTAAGTAAACATTGCCCAAACTCCACTCTGTATGTGCTTGAATGGAAGGTTAAGTTGCAGACAATTGATTATGCAGCCCAACAATTGTTCTTGCGTTTAACTGGCCATCCCCACTGCATAAGAGTATTTGTTTCCAGATAAAATGATCTAAAAAGAACGTGAAACTTACCATTGTTTCTGTTGACTCAAAGACACAACTAAAGAGAAACAACCGAATCGCTCGGTGTGCAATATTGCAAAAAGCGTTGACAATGGACGCCTCACACCAGACAAATGAAGGAAACGCTGCCTTGTATAAATTACACAGATGTTCCAAAATTTCATACCAGTATCTATCGTCAATAAAAGCTTGACTCACGGGCACTTGAACGTTGAATATTCATTGTTTTTTCACTCTCGAGACAGGTGTTAAATTTAATGTGCGCTTCAGTTGGCTGGCCATGGTGGCATAGCAGAATTCGCTGAGTTGGTATAATAAACCAGTATAGGGAATCAAAACCGAAATTAATATCTCCTGTGTTAAATTTTGTTCAAAGTGGCTAGAACTTTTTTGGGTCGACTTCCTACTCTGTGGTTTTGTTTAATTATTAAACTAAGATGAACGGTTTATGTATCATTTACGCGCGTGGGATGTGCGCGCTTGATCAAAAACCGAGGGCGCCATCAACGGTTTAGCTAGAAATAATAGTTTGTTCATGTTCAATAGTATCATGGAGGTAGAAATGATAGTATTGAGCAAAACAGAGGGAAAAATAAGTCAAGAGAATAAATGTTATTTAAAAGGCAGGTAAGGTGGCGTCAACATCAGAAATGGTCGTAACCAATGTTGGCACTTGCAAACGACGATGGTAGGACTGGGAATCAGTCTACCCGCGATCATGTACATGTACAAAGTGATCTTGTACCGAGTATTAGTCAACGTGAAAGAACGTCCCCAATTAAGACAGAACATCCAAGGGCACCAGACTAAGCATAATGGCGGATAAGGCGGTGGGCTCAAATAAGAACCAAGTCATGGAACTCACTGTAAGTGAGGAAGATTTCATGCTTATGGATGGATTCAACTTGGACTTTTACTGTCTTAGGTTCTGGAGGGAGTTTAAAGAAAATTGGACAGTTGACGAACGATCAGACAGGAATCTTCTTCAGGGTTTGTATCTATTTTTTGGCATGTGTGGCAGGGGCCGGCTGTGACCGTAGGATTGGTGTTCATTACTGCGCCTATACTATAAGGGAACAAATTAGCCTACTTTTGAAACAACTTACCAAAATATGTTATTAGTATTTTCCTCTTTCATATAAGAAAGAAAAGGGAACAGGGTTTTTTGGTTTCTGAGGGAACTTTGGAGTGTAAAACGGCAGCGTACATGACCACCGCGCCCCTACGAGATATACTTGTATATATATGCAGATACTGAGATATGCAACCACATGAAGCCAAACCACAGTGGTTGTGTTTGTGTAGACTCGCGTTGCCGCCGTTCATCGGTATATCAACAGTAAAAGTTAAAACCACCGTCAACCTGTGTGAATTACGCTAGTCAAGCGGTTACAGCATAACGTTTGTGATCCATGGGGTGTGGGTTCAAAATCCCATGTCGAAATTGTGGGCTGGGAAGATTTTTTTTAAAGCGAAATAAAGCCCGAATTTTATAGGAGCCTAATTTCACATGTGAAGTTTTTATGGTTGGTTGAGCATCAAGATAGATGTCATGCATTGTGCATGGTTGTGAACCGTGGTTTGGCTTCATACGTGTGATTGCATATATAGCTCCCCTTACAGTAGAGGCCCGAAGAGCTGTGAACGAATGTAGTCTGGTTTCCTGACCATGTTGACTTTGAAGGAGATTAGTTTTGATGAATCCAAAATGCCTGAGTCGGGTAACCAGATGAGAAACAAAATGGTGTGATTCGACTGATTGTTTTTCGCCAAATTTGGTTTAGAAATTTGTGGTTTCCTTCTTTACATATTGTCAAAATTTACCTAAACTAGGCGTATCCGGATTGATTGATGGTTCCTTAAAGTCAAAAGTCAGGTTTTTTTTACAAGTAATACTTCATAAGTTAGTAGGAAAGAATGTAATCGGTATAATCGGTATATTTACAGTATTTTTAAATATTGGCACCAAAACCCTGAGAAAACAACACCATTTGATTTTTTCTCAACCAACATCATTTTGAATGAGCCTGACACTTTGGAATTTGCCCCCTACCCCAACACCAAAAGCTGGATATGCTTCTGAACATCACAAGTCATACCTTGTACTAGTCATACCATATTACAAAGTACATGTACACGTAGCACACGTCTGCTTTTGGCTAGTCATAACACATGTGCGAGAGGAAGTTTTGGACTTTCATCATCACAAAATCATTTGGATCATCATCACGAAATCACTTTTCTATTCAGAGTTTTGCCATTTTTCTACAAAGTTTGCGTGTTTGATAGCACTTTGACGAGCCTCGTTCTCTCCAGCATGTTCGGTTGGACACATGATCATGAATCAATGATTCGTCTTCTTGCAGGACTGCTGCGTCAGAAGTTTGGATGGTGCAAACAACGAGAGAGACTTGTACATTTCATGCAGTTGATTGTATGCCTAGCTGATGGCCAAGACATAACCACTCAGTACAACCCAGGGGAGGTGGAAACTCCACTAGAAAAAGCTCTGTCGTGCTTTGAGAAGGTGTTGGATGATTATGAAGGGTCACCGGAGGAAATCAAAGCTGTAAGAGATGAAATGAAGGTGCAGGTGTGTCTACAGGATTAGTTTGGTTTTCATTTTGTTACAATGAGTCTAGTTCTGTTTCTGTATTTGCACTGTAAGCCTCATTGATAGTTTTTCAGTCAGGGTTTTCTTTGAGACAGCGACTTTAAACTGACATAAGTTGCTATGTATTTAATGCTGACTTCCTCAGGCTGTGATGATGCTGTGCAGAGCTGAAGAATTCAAACAGGCAAAGAAAGTCCTTCAGAAAGTATGGTTCAACTCAGACGAGCCTCAAAACAGGACAGAGGTTGGCTCACCTGTAAGTGCAGCTTTTAAAAATCTGTAGATGTTAATGTGGCTTAATCAGAAACCTACAAGAGGTTTTCTGGCAAACATTTCTTGGTGTTATTTTCAAAGAAGGGAGAGATTGATGAATATATTTTGAAATCAAGGGAAGATTTATTTTCGCGGAATGAAAAATGTAAAAAACTTTTCTGTTGTTTGTGGCTTTTCTTAGGGAGTATTACAGAAGCGTTTGAAGTCATTCATTGATGATAAGAGGATGAATGCTCGGTTCCTCTCTCACCATACCTACGAAAATTTCCTTCAGCAAACGGTTTGTCTGCTTCAAAAAGTCTATGACAGTTTTGACACCCCATTTTTACTGAAGGTAAGAATATATGTGTACTGGAAGTGTATTCTGGTTTTGTTTCTGTTGTGTGATAGTTGAGTCCGTCACATATCCTTAAAGTTCATCAATTCACAAGTCACTCAGTAAGTCAAATAAACTGTGGCAAAGGTGTCCTTTTAAGACTTACCCCAAAATGTCAGAATGCCTGATACTACTTCATTTCCTCTCAACTAAATCTGTGCTCGTTGAAATGAAAATTTACAACGGAAACCCATCAAGTCAACCTGTCTCCCATTTACTCTTATACCCCCCAAAACCTAGGGTCGCTGACAATTGTCTTTGTCTGCTCTCAGATAGCTCAAGCTTATCAGAGGAAGATGGAGAGACTAACAGAGGCTATGGAAGACCAAACAGACAGCTCGGTAGATGATGCAACGGTAGAAATGTCATCAAAACCAGTGAGCCGGCCCTCATCACATACCTCCTCCCCTATCAAAGGTTCGCAAAGAAACAGTTTTGGAAAGAAGATTATTAGATGTTGATGTTATATCTGGTATAGCACAATAGAAAGAAAACTGAAAACAGCTGCTAAATTCCTGTTTTGTACTTGCCTTTTATGCGAGCATTTTTTTCCCCACTTTTCATCTCTCTGTCATTTCTGCACCTGTTCGTTTGTTAATATTTCAGGTTTCTGCCGTTCACAGCGGTTGTCTAGTGAGTTGGGGAGCCAATCTTGTAATGGAGATGCAAATCACTTGGTTGTTGATGAGAATCACAAAACAGAACCAACTGTCACAAGAGGACACCAAGCGGAAGAGGCAAGAGTAGATGAAGATGTCAGTGGTTGCCATGGAAACCAGAAAGATGAGGATACCAGAAAGGTTGAAGAAACAGCAACTGAGAAGGGGCATGGCAGTCACCAAGGTCCCATAGATACAAACAAGGATGGAGATAATGGTCATAGCAACCAGAGAAACCACAACAAGAAAGGTGCCAAGAGAAGGCTTGTGATTATATCTTCTGATGGAGAAGAGGCAAACATCAAAGTTTGCCGAGGAAATGATAAGGGCGATATCAAGGAAATATCTCGTTCAGGAAATAACAACAACAATCATAGAAAAGAAGTTGACAAGTGAGTACCTTTGTCTCCTCTCCAAACATAAGCTTTGTTGCTGTCAAGAGTCTTGAATGCTTTAATTCGTGCCAGTACTTTGGTAATTTTTCAGGTGTTGCAACTTCAAGATGTTGGAGTCTTCCATAGTGCGTCTTGGGCTTGATGGAGCACAGGTAGAAGATATTGTCACTGAACCACTGATACTGCCACAAGAAATGGTAAATGAAATATTCAATCGTGTTCAAAGATTACCTAATACCCTACTCTTTGTGGTCAAATCATGTCTCGCAATTAACGAGAGATCTCCAATGTTCTAAGCACAGTTGACAGTGTCACTGAATGCAATAGAATCTAGTTGTCTGATCAGCAGGGTTGTGATTGAGAGATCTCGTAGTGTGTTGTGTTAATCTACTGCATGATTCTCTAGGTCAGAAATTTATGAAATGTTCAAATTTGCAAACTGGAATTTATCAATCATTGGATTTTTGAACGTAAATCTCGTAGTAACCAGAATCATTATTGGAGTCATTTTGACAAACATTTGTTCATTGTTCCTTAAATAAAAGATTGTCCAAATAGCTAACCAAAAGTCATTACTAAAATGGTTTCCTTCTGGAGCTTTATATTCTTTCATTCATCTTTTATTGGCCTGCGTAAACAAGATGCGGCGTAAAGTTCAGTCGAGCAAAAGGCCTGGTTGCACTTCTCCATCTACGCCTAAAACACCGTCCACCCAAACCACTCCAGTTCGTCTCTCAAGCCAGCAGCAATCTACAACCTCACCTAAACCCCAGACCTCTGACGGAGGAGAAAAGGACTCCGTGGAGAGCAAGGCCTCTGATGGGAATTTCATCCGGTTTCAGAAAACAACTCCAAGACGGTGAGAATAATGAATTTCCTCTGAAGAAACAACCGAACTTTTGGGAACCTAATAGGGAGTAATTGCAGAATACCCCGCCAAGTGAAAATACTCCCTAAAATTCAATGGCTACGCAATGGATCAAATGACAAAGTCTGTTTGCTCTGCATTGGAGTTGTCGAGCTCCAAGTAAAGGGCCCTATTTTCCCTTAAGAAATATTCCTTGCAGTGTCTCAGCATGTGGCTGTGCAGAACATTCAAGTCATTTTAGAGAACGAAGCATCCACTTCAATCATACACGACTCATCAGTGGAAGGTCAAAAAATATCTAAGTCCAAAGTGGGTCCCCGGGAGTGGCTACGGGGATACGAAGACGGCCTCCAAGGAAATAATGTTGTGTCATGTCACATAAACTGCATGGGGAAGGTTGAAAAATATCTTAGTCCAATGTGGATCCTCTGGAAGTGGATACGAGGATACAAAGTGTCTGAGTCCAACCAAAGTTCCGGGAAGTGGCTTTGTGGATTCTTAGATGGAACTATATGAGTGACCAGTCAAGCGTGACTCCATATCCGCATATCCGGATACGAAGTGGACTAGGCGAGTGGCAGGGTATTCTGCAATTGTGCCCTTAAAAGTTTCCTTATTAGCATAAGAACAATCTATAACCCATATTCCCGAGGAATTAGATTTTGTAAGAAAAAGTCCCAAATCCTTGGAAATCTACCATTACTGAAGGAAACAATCATAAAGTCTTTTTACTTGTATCTTTCAGACCATAGCAAGTCCATTGTGGAGTAACAATAATGGCCCTACCCTCCTTAATCTTTGCAAAAATTTCCCCAGAACCTGATATTTTGAGCTTGGTTGAGGATCTGGGAAGACTTAAGGTTTAATAATGTAATAAATGTCGAGTGTTGCATGTGCATACAAAGTAATAGTTTATGAAAGAAATTGGAAGAGTTAATGTTCTTGAAGCTGTGACAAGAGGTTGAAATTCAGAGTTTTGTGACAATTTGTATTTTAGGGGGAAGTCAATCCGTGATCAGAAATATCAGCCTAATCGTGTCAAACAGAGAAGCTCTGATGTTCCCAGCACGTCAAAGGATGATGACAGTGTTTACTCCTTCACAGGCAGTGAATCAGAAGATTTAAGCAGTAAGTTCAGAAATTGAATTCCTGGTGTGTGTCAAATAAGGCTAAAATAAAAACATCTCTGGTTTCTGGTTGGCGTTGGCGCACGTGTCGGCCGTAGACCTGCGCGTTGGCAAAATAAAAACCTTTTTTATTTGGTATAAAACAATGTGCAAAAGCTGCTAAACTTGGTTGATCAAGTGGACTCCTGCTACTGTATAATTGTAACATGTTTTTGATGGGATACAGTTGAGTCATATGTACAGTACAGGAGTCCCTCCTGTTCCCTATACATTAGTTGGGCACTCTTTCTGTATTATACATTTACGTCTGCGTAAGAAGTGATGAGGGTTCCTAATGGATGTGCACTGTGTAAGTTTCTAATCAAAGCCTTAACTCAAAGTGGCTCTAATGACTTTTGACGCATTTTGATATAGTTTGGATCAATTTTTTTCTAACAGAAATGTTTCCACCTTTGGAAACAAGCACGGGGTAAGGTAGGATTACACAATCAATGAGTGAATAGACCGATCCATGAAACCCTGCCTCATTGTATTCGGATTACTCCCCAGCCATGATTTGTGTCCAGCACATGAGCATTCAAGTCTGATGTACGTGCGCATGCCTGCATGTACATGTATAATTGGCTTGGCTAGATCATGTAGTGTGGCATTGGAGAAGGTGTGTTAAGTGCCCACATGCAACCTCTTCACTTTCTTATGGCAGCTTCCCCTCCCGCCTTGGACACGCCTCATTTACGCCATAGCCTGGATCCAGCTTCTTGGCAGCAAAAGGAATGGTTGAGGAGACCTCCAGTCCGTAAGAAACCGTGGACAAAGGAAGAAGTGAACCTGTTCAAGAAGGCGTTGCAAAAGTACGGACCAGGCAAATGGTCCGAAATGATCGCAGCGTATAACTTCAGTGGCCGGACAAACGTCAACCTGAAGGATAAATGGAGGACAATGGTCAAGAATGGTGAAATCTGAGTAAGATGACTCAATAGCAGGATACCATGGTAACAAGGAATAGTGGGCGGTTGCTGATTGACCTTTAACCCGAACACTCCTCAATCCTTCACCTGTTGGAGGACTGAGGAGTGTTAGGGTTAATATTAATCTTGATCCATACAGGAAAAAGAGGAAATTTCAAAAGAGCAAAGCCATACTTTTACAGACTTGGAGTCTGTGAATAATTACCCTCTTTTAAAAACATGAGATCTCGTTCTTAGAGAAAACTCTTACAAAGAGAGATCATTGGTTTGTGCACACTCTGGAGAAAATGCATCATGTGATCTCGGTGCTGTTAGCACAGGCTAGTCAAGGAGCTGAAAGGTTCGTATCAGTTCTGCATTTGTACTGCCAAAGTTGTGATCATTTGATAGAATGTTACATGCTGATTTTGATATGTTCTAAGAGAACGGCAAGTCAAAGAAAAGATGTTGGCTACAAATGTAGCAGGATCACAGTGTTGCCAGAGGCAAGATTTTTACCAACATTACTTGGGTTTTATTCTGATACACAATGGTTATGATGGACACAACAAATTGATACCAGCATGTTTTTTCTCCAACATTTATTTTCCATTCTGATCAAAACTTAACTGGTAATGTTATTGCTTCGATACAGATTCAGTGCAGTTTCACTGTCACAAAAGAGGACCCAAACTAGTGAATGGGTTTTATAGGAATTGCTAGGAGCAAGTAACAAAGAAATGAAAGCAAGGAAACACATGAAAACATCTGTGACTGCAGCGGAATTCTCGTCATCAGTTCTGCAGTTGAGTTGACCGTTTGTTTTCTACCACACAATTTGGAAGGAATAACATACAAACACCTGTCAGTTTTTAAAAAGTACACATGTATATAGGTTTGCTTTAGAATGCATGAATGTACAAATGCAGCGACTAACATGGTTCCACCTGGTAAGGGTATCCTCTATGACAGCTTTACAAAAGAAAAAATCTTGGAAAGTTCCTTTTGTGGTAAAAACAAAGTTCCCCTGTCCACTGCAAGTTCACTGATGTGTATGGTACATTCATGTTATACATATTACCTGGCAAAAATCTAGGAAGGTGTTCAACATTTCTACCAAGAAAAAATTCTACCCACTCTTAACAGTTACAAAGTCCAGCACCAATTAGGGACAAGGCAGTGTAAACGTGAAAATTGCCACACACGTTCCAATAATGGTGACACTAACTTCTACCAACATATGTACAAAAACTCCATCTTCAGGAATTGACAAGGCTTCAAACTTAGAAACTGAGTGAGTTGTGATTCATTGGGAGTCAGGAACATTAGGTGTTATTCTGAACTATATACTCCAACACCAAATGCTGTCTAATTGATAAGTTTTACTTATAATCAGTAAAAAACGTCTTGATATTTCATAATGTAGATGAACAAATTGTGTTTAATCTACAGGTACAGTATGTAAAAAGTTGCGTTGCTTTCTGCACAAGCTGGAGAACGTTTTTAAGTTCAGGGCACGCTTGACTGCTTGTACATAGCATGAAACATATTACACTTCTCGTAGTGGTGAAACTGAACAGAACTCATCTCTACTGGGGAAGAACGTACACAGAATTTCAAACCCCATATATATTAAATCTGGATACACATGTAAGTAATATTTTCCTTCCAACTCGACGCTTTTTGAAGAGTTGTAGAGTTTTTATCAAGAAAATTGTGGATTTGTTTTAGTGTGTATAGGCTTCCAGGCTGTTTTATTTGCGTTTCATTTCCAGTTTGTCTTCATCATTTTGACAACGTCATTGTATATTTCCATTTTATCATGGCATGGTCAAAAGTCACAGCTTGGAGCATCTTGGCCTCAGATTTCCCACACCTGTTTTAGTTATACATGTATAGCATTTTTGCATAATGTGGTCAAATACATCTACCAACTGTTAGCATATCAAGACTGTCATTAGAAGTAGTACTTTTGGAACTGTTCATGCATTTTTCTGCTCTAGGCCCACGGGGAGGGGTGGGTAGAGGAGTCAGATATAGCCAAGTATATTTGGATCTCAATTACAATTGCGTATGTCCAATAGCCATTAGTGCCTGTGTACGTGAGACTTTGGAGTGTTGTGGATTACATTGGAATCAATATACATGTATGTGCCAGAACACTTAACAAAGTCATGTGCATACTGATATAAATCAGGAAAGGTAAAAGCACTACACAGTGATTTGAGATAAACTGGTGTACCAAGATACCGCTAAACCACTTTTAGTCTTTGTGTATGTGAAACTGCTTGGCTTTTGAGGTGAAAATTCTCACAACCAGATCCAAATTTATCTGACTGGATGTTGTCATCTGTACACAGACTGCTCGATCCTGTAACTCCAAGGCAAATAACACAAGTTAAGTCTTGGAGCTAGACCACTCATCACAATCACACCCTTCTCTGTTGTTCAATAGGTACATGTATTCATTGCTTCAGTCTTCATCTGTACCACGCTGTAAAATGTTTGGAAAACAACTACAGAGTATCATACTGTGAAGTTAAAATACATGTAAGTGCCTACTTTTTACTAAATGGAGAAAAGCTTCCATGTGCACCTTTGCAGTTAGAATATGGGGGCATATTCTTTGCCGTGCCTTGAATTTTGGCCAATGATGCCGGAATCTTTGTAATCTGATTGAACAGCTGGGGATGTTTGTCATATTTGACAATGTTTGGCAGGATGTAGTCGTGCCGAAAAAGAGAGCAGAATTCTAAAAATAAAATGTCCCAAAATCTCCAAAGTAGATACAGGTTTATATTCTACTCTGAGTTGTAACCTGGTTGGAAATACGTATACATCAATGAGTTGTAAATAAAGTTGAAGTTCATGAAGATGAATAGTTTTGCCTGGAACTATTAGGTCATTCAAAATTTTTATAAGAGACTGTCAACAGGGAAGCCAACTTTATCAGTAGAAAACCAGCAGGTTCCCTGAGGTCACAGGTTCGAATCCAAAAGCAATCAATTTTCTTCATGTCAGTTCTGTTCAACTGTGCACTTTGCCCCCCTCACCCTTGATTTTTTCGATGCATTGATATCAAAGCTCACTATTTTCTCTATCTGTCACTCTTGTAGCTATAACACACTGTTGACCAGTAAATAGTACATTTGACCAGTAAATAGCACACTGTTGACCGGTAAATAGCAAAAAAAAGAAAAGTAAGTGAAATTGTCGACCTCAAACATAATCAAACTAAGTAGATTCTACTTCAGTGTCTATTTCTATGCCGACCACAATATATGAAATATCTACAAGTATTGCTTTTTGGAATGTTTTGTTCTAATCAATCTGAAGTCTTTGTTTTGCCATCAAATCATCTCCACAATGTCAAGTTCTAGTCTTATAACGTTGAGGTATTGGATCTTTCCTCGATCAAACAATGGCACTGTGTGACCTGTAATGAGGGTGTGATGGACACTTCACTGGTTAGGGTGTTCTATTTAAACTACACAGTCAAACCTCGTTAACAAGAGGTTCTTTGGACTTTGTTATAACAGGAACCTTGTATTATCAGGAATGAAAACAAAAACAAAGGATTGTGACCCAAAGATTTCTTTGTAAGCAGAATCTTCTATTAACAGTGCTCTTATTAACGAGGTTTGACTGTGTCACCCTACTACCTATAGCCAATCTGGACATGAATGGCTGTGTCCAAACACACATCTATGAGAAATGGCTATGGCTGATAGTCATCTGACTTCCATGCATTAATTTAAGTCACAGCCAAGTCACTCAGAGGTGGCTATCCTTCACTGTTGTCATCGTCATTTTTACCACTGGAAGTGTGATTTGTACCAAATCTAATGATATCATATGACCCTTTCCACCTCATGCAATTATTCCACACCACAGGAAAATACCTTCAACTTCAAATTTTAATTTCTGTAAATGTCTTGTCAATCTTAACCGCAAACTAAGCTTTAAAATAAACCTTAGAAGTTGCCAACCAAGACCACTGAGTTAAAAGTAATATAAATTAAAATATTAATGTTTTATTGTTCTTAACCTAAACTTTATAAAATATCTGAAATTGTTAATAATTGTTTCAAAAATCAAAATCAACACACTTTTAATAAATAACAATTCTAGGTTTCATCAATTTTATGACTCAGAACACAAGCAGTAAACATAAATAACCTAATGAATATTCATCAGCTGATGAATGTCTTAATGAGATCCTGAGTGTACATGCTTGGATACCGCATGGAGGCATAGAACCTTCATACATCACTTGAGGAACCCTTTTATGTCCAAACTTTGCAACACCAATACTTTTGTGGTGATTCTGGCATAATGTACGTCTGAGGACAACATGAACCCTCCATAGTTTTATGCAATTTACAAACACAGCGTACTGATACATGTACTGACATCATCACAGCAGTAGCATCCTCTCTTAAGTTTAGAATACTACAGGTTATTGACCTATGCCTCAACCTACCATGGAGCTATGAAATGTTATATAGTTCCATGATGAACGTACACAGTACAATTTTCCCTATATCTCCAACACACTTGCGTAGCCTCACTATGAAATGAACGAGTGTTCATTGACCCCTACAATCACCTCTTATTTTTGGGTACTCTTATTTTACAAAAACACCCCAAAACAAAAAAAACCCAACACCTAATGGACGTTTTCATCAGACGCCATGTTGGAGGAAATCTTCCCATGCAGGGTGTGCATTTAGGTATTATGGTTAAACTGTATGCTGTGTTGCAATATCCAACATGGCCACTACTAATGAGGTGAACTCCATTAGTCCAATCATTTTATCATTATCAATATTTTTGTCAAGCCCCATACATACATTGAGTACTGAAAATTTTCTTTGTCTTTCTGTAACAAGTTTCTTGCAAGAGAAATGATTCCTAGCCCTTTTTTTTCCTTCCCCAAAACAGGAGTTATCTTCAGAGATGTTTCCATATACACACACACTGGCTTAGAGCGTGTGGTAGTTTTTATCCCGTCTTGTCTTATAGAAACTGTACCCAAAGCCAATAATCAGGACAATAGCAATGCCAAGAACGATTCCGCCGATGAAACTTGCTGCATCAAAACCTCTCTTGGGGGCCATTGTGGTTGGTTGCGGTTTAACGGTTGGACCCATGGGCTTGGTTGGACCCATCGGCTTGGTTGGACCCATCGGCTTGGTTGAACCAATCGGTTTGGTTGAGCCCGTTTTTGGAACTTTTGTTGACGGTGTTTTTGGTGCTGCTGTTGTTGCTGGAGCTGTTGTTGGTGCCTTGGTTGTTACTAGGCCCGCAGTAGCTGAAAAAAGACAATCATGTACGTGCATAAAGAACAGTGGGTAATAAAGTGGCAGGTACCGGTAGGCTTGAACACCTGCATGATTTCTGGCAGGTGTATAGCTGAGCTTACAAGCAATGAGGCAGGAGGGGGGGTGGTGAACAAGTAACCAACAAACAGCAGCAAACACATACACTTTCTGAAGTGCTATAATAGTAACAGTGGGAGACATTGGCTTCTATTTCTTCCAGTTGGATGTCGTTTTTCGTTTGCTGCTATTGAAAAGAAAATGAGTGGAAATACTTCAAGACAAGACAGGGAATGTTTCAATCCACTTTTGTAAGGCTTCCCAAAGAATGTTAGTACAGTTCACTCATCAGGATGTATCATGACCTGAAGCATTCCTGTCAGGATTCTTCCTCAATCCTACATCCTCCACTCTTAGGAAATCAGTGACACTCGGCACATCAGCTCATGTAAAATAACAGTGCTCAAGCTCTCCCTTTCTTAGAAAATCCTACAAATCTCTTGGTGGATTTCAAAGAAGCTCTGAGGTCAAGGTTCAAACAGAATGCACTAGTCTTGTAATCAAGTCCATCACAAGACCTGTCATAAGTAACAAGGTGATAAGTTTAATTACAAAGGAGTGCTCGTCATGTAGTTCACTTGAAAAGCTTGTGACATGGCTGGACAATGTGATGGACCTGTGATGGACTTATGATAGACTCAACTACATGTATAACATTGACATTCATTCTCCATTTGGTAACAAGGAACTTGATTCGTCCACTCATGTGTGATGTGCAACTTACATGTAGCTTCTGTCGTTCCACTCTCTTGTGTTAGAGTAGGAGCTATATCAGTTGTCCCATTAGCTGGGACCTCTGCACCTGGTGTTACAGTGCCCTGATTTGCTGGCAAGCTAGGGGTGGGGGTACTTATGGCTGAAACAGCAACAGAACAATTTACACTTTCCTTTGATTGCAGTTAATGTCTCCTTGCATAATCAGAAGGAATAGTGATCTCTGAAGTTTCAGAATGTCCGAAGTTTAAAACAAATACAAAACAAAAATACACCAAAAAAAAAAAAACCCAACGCAACCCCACCTCACCCCATCCAACTCAACCCAAGCCAACACAACCAAACCCCACCCCACTCAATAAAACCCACCCAACTCAACCCAATCCCATCCAACACAACCCAATCCCATCCAACACAACTCCACCCCACCTCACCCACCCCAACCAACCCCACCGCATCCAACCCAACCCCATCCAACTCAACCCCACCAAGCTCAACCCCACCACACCCACACAACCCATGTACACCCAGCACAACCCAAGAAGAACAACTGAATACCTAATTGAAAGAAGGGCCCAACTCCAACAACCTTTTCTGCGTTCAATACAAAAAAATGAATATTTTTTGAAAGAGTTACAAAGGAAATCAATTAACTCTCCTAGGCCCGAATGGTGGAGTTGGGCCTTTCTCTTCATGAAGTATTCAAATGCGTAGAACATCAATGTCCTCTAACAAGCAGCTGAGAGAAATTTGACCCTGAGATTAACGACAAAATGTTTACCAAAGTGTCTGTTAATGCTAGTGTTGTGTTTTTGCATAGTGTTACTGTACCGCAGTTTAATGCCTATATGTACATTGTATGTACAATTCACATATATGTAAATTTGTTGGTTTATAAGGCTTCATCTTCTAGCCTCATACTGGTCAATGTACACAAATAGAAAATGGGGACTTTTATTCTCATTCTACTGCCTAAACAAATTGGGAAAAATACTAAACATCATTTAGCTTTGTAGCTATTATTAAAAGGACTCAGAAGTTTCTTTATTATTATCAATGATTATGATTAGAGGAACTGTCTAATTTTCTGGATTTGTAAAATAAGTATAACTTTATACCAGCCCAAACCTTACATGTAAAATTGAATACAAAATGCCCTCTCTGTTTGTTCTTCAACAAAGTACATGTATCTTTTTCCTGTTCACAGACGCATGGGAAAAACAGGAAGCACTGGGTTTGCACAAGTGTCATTTCACCACCTGTTTTTTTTTTAAGCAGAGCTCAGTGTATGGGAACAAATGCAGATATAGAGTAGAATCCATGTATTGATTTCAGACACATCTTATGACAGTGACTCATACATGTACATACGTACACGTCATTCATGCTATGTACATGTATTCAACTTGGTTTATGTTCATGTTGTTTGTTGTAAAAGTCAACAGTTCTCAGGAATAAAACCTGATGCCATGTACGTGAACATGTAGCTAGAGAGAGAGAGAGAATTGCAAGTAGTTTAAAAATCATCATTCATAAATCCCTCCAACCTCTGGCAAATTCTCACACTTGATTTGGATAACATTACAACAGCAAACTCCCGCCATGATTACTTGAATGAGTTCTGCTTTACAGGTGTTCCACTCACTTAGCAGAATACCCAGAGCCTATCCAGGGCTCCCAGTAATATTTGATGGAGGTTCATGTTTATTAGTGCTGGCTTTGCAAAACTCCTTTAAGAAAATGACACAGGAGGTACATGCACATCCATTAAATGATAACCACATACCTTATTAGATTACAGATATCAGTCAGTAATTCACAGAAGAAAAAACACTAACATTCCACACTTGAAGTGCTGGTCCACAAGGACAATCTGTATGCTTACGTGTGAATTGTTGGGCCTTAATAAAGGAACATTTGTGAACATT